CTTTCTATCAAGTTCTGTTGGTCATTGGATTTTGACACTCAGAGGAGAGGTGCATTAGATATGCAGAGGGTTTTGTTTACCCCAGAATACCAAATTTGCTACCTCAGTCAGGTTTCACTTTCCTGCCTTAGTGCAATGTTGCTAAAATGACAATAAAACAAGAAGATGACCTTACATTTCAGGTATCTGTGGGATCTGTAAACAGAATCTGCACATAAGAAATATTATTAAATGCTATCAAACTGTCGTAATAAATTCATTCAGAGGCAACTGAAGAGATGGCTCAGTGTGATGTAGGTGATATGACTGGAATCTGAAAAGGACTGTGGATGACAAGCTAAGTCAATAGGAAAAAACCCTAATGGGTAGTGATGGAGTAGTGTGGTGTGGGTCACAGCCTAGGACCTGCACTGCTGATGAGCAGCAGAGCTGGAAGGGGCTCTGAAAGGATAGGGCAGTCCCTTTTCTTGGCAGGCACCTCATCCCTGTTCAGCACCCTGCTGAACATCCTCACCAGGGCAGGCACCCATCTGGGAATGCTTCCCAGTAAACATGGGCTGAATATCTCCCCACACTCTGACACACACATTAAAAATGGAAATTGCAGGAGACATCACTTTCATTTCATTGGGAAATGAAGTAGAGTATTTGTATATAAGAAAATATTCCGGAGTCACTGGTCAGATAAGGTGTGAAATGAAAAGGCATGTGGTATGAAAAACCAGTTCTCTGTATAAAATTAAGTTCTATCTACATTTTTGCTGATATTTCAACACATCTCTGTAAACAGGCAACACCCATAAATATTAGTAAAACTGAGGTGTTGCTAAAAGTCTTTCCATGAGCTATGATTTCAACTGTGGAATATTTTCAAGAGACAGACAAGGAAGTGTATGTGATCTGACAGGGAGAAAAGCAAAAGGTGGTATTTTTGTCTCCTGAAAGACCTGTTGTAATTACAACAGTTAAGAAAAAAGCAGATTACTGGCTAATCTCTTTCCCCCTTGCAATATTTCTGTCTCTTGACACTCTGATTCACTAAAAAATCCAAAAAGCCCTCAACAACTGTGGGTTTTAGGATTAGAAAAGGAAAGGATATTTTTGCTCAGTCTGAAGCCTGTGGTAAGGAGAATTACCAAGAGCTCAGTATGCTGTTTTGGTAGATACATAACCCTGGTCACAGCTACTCACATGCTCTCCTTTTGGTGCAAAGGTGAGCATCAGAAGATACTTGAGATTTGATCTTGAGTTCAACATAGCATAAAACATACTTTTTAATGAAGTTTGTGCTTACATAACTTCTTTGGCTTCCTCCAGCAAAAATATCAGACATAAACCTTTGGGCTGCTCCATTTTCCACTGATTATCCATAGACCAGTGAGCCCCAAAGACTGAGAAAGCAAATGCTTAGGAGATCATAAATTCTCTTCATATATATATATATATATATATATAATTTTTTTTTTAACATCTCCAGTGTCCTGGAAACCCTGTCCTTTCCTGCAGCAGAGAGTGGCTCTAGGGAACCAAAGCGGTGTAGTGGTGGATTTGATGCACCAGCCACCTTCAGTGACAATTAGAAAAAATGCTGAAGTTCATGACAACAATTATAAGAATGAAGATAGAGGCTGAACTTGGTCAACACAATAGAAGCATATTCTTTGCTTGGTGAAATTAAACTGTTTATAACTGTTTTTGTATTCTCTTCCTTACTACATAGATGTTACCATCTCTAACTGGTCTGATATCTTTAAAAGTGTTAAGGGGGCCTGGATCCTGGTGATGTCCCTGAGCCTGAGCAAATAAATTTCTCTGGGTCAGAATAAACAGAACATGAAAGAAAAGTAGCCCTATTGGGTTAAGCTAGAGATCCAGTTAGCCAAGTAGCTTTTTGGCACGGTCCAGTAACAGATGTTTAAAAGGAAAAGTAGAAGTAATATGATCCTTTCCATTTTATAACATCTCTTCTTGAAATTAACAATTAATATATCCTGAGTTACTTGACAAAAGTTTTAAAGTTGTCATTAATTTTGCTACTTGCTAACCTACCTAGTTCTTTTTCAACTTACTTATTTTTTATGCAATATCCTGTAATAATGAGCATGGGAATTTAATTATGCATTGCATGCAAAGGTACTATCTGTGGCCTTATTTAAACTTGAGACCAGAAGGTTTCCCTAGAGCTCCCTAATTTTGATTCACATTCCCTGTTTCTGTATCCATCCTGATTTTGTAGACTTTAATTTCATAAGGCATGGATTGGAGGAGTCCAATGAAACAAATCTGAAGTAATATAAATATTCTAAATCACATTTTTAAAAGGGTTGAATTAATTTTATAGATGAAGTAACATACAAGTTTGGCCTGAAAAAGAGGAACTTTGGGCCTTTAGAAAGATTATCCTTTAACTCTTCCTACAAACAGGTTTGTCAACTATATTGCTGAGCATTCTTAAACACCTTTTTTAGTGAGACCACAAGGAGCTGATCAACTACAAATGTCACCCTATCTGTAACACTTTCTTTGCATCTTATCTCCAGATATGGGATTAAAAATGAGGCCAAAGTGATGAAAATGCATAAGACTTTATAAACCCATAGAATAACTAGGCAGTTTCTACTTTAAAATCATAGTTATATCAAAGACATTTTGGTATTGTCTCAGGAAACCTTTGCTGTGGGCATTAGCACTTGAACATTGTTTCTACAATGGAGGGGCTAGTGAGATGATTCAGGTAAAACAGAAGTAAGGTACACCTTTACCTGTCCAAAACTCCCAAGGACTCTCGGTATTCAGTTAAGGGTTTTTTTGTTTGCTTTGTTTTCTTTTTTTAAAATTATTTTTAAAATGCTTCCATGCACATCTCCTGGCCAAATTTAGAAATATTTCATTAAAAGATTTCTCTCAGTTTCATCTTTAGAGTAAACTAAGACATTTACACTTGCCCACAGTCATGAATGTATGAGCCAAAAAAGCCACAGACCCACATAAGCTCATTTGTATTGGAATTTTGAAATTTCATTTGATTTTGAAACAAAATAATTTTCCTAGCCTACTGCAGCCCTGCTTACCTGGGCTAAATTTCTTCCAAAGTTGAAAATAAAAGTAAAAATGTAAAGTGTGGACTCTTAGACATTTTACACCACTACTTTTTGGACACTGAAAGACCAAATGGAAATAGTGACACTTTCAATCCATATACATATGTGTGTACTTGAATATCTCATTTCATCTGGAAGGTTTGGTCTCAAAAGGCTACACTGGTCTTGCCCTGTAATTACACAATTTCCTAAACACTGAATCAAACACTGATGTTGAGTGGCTGGAAGATTAATGTTACCCTGATGACAAAAATGGAAAAATAATTTGGGGAATCAAGAGTAATTAAATTCTTGACAGAATCACTTGAAAAGGGATCATTAGTTATATGAATGAATTATTCTCCTGCAGCTTTGTTTATATATGGGAAATAGACATTTAAGAAGTGATTTCTTCTTATTGGCAATATAAAACTTATTATCTCTCAAAATAAGTGGCAACATTAATACCTAGGGTTGCAGAGAATGGTTATTTCAAACTATAAAATGAAATTTTGACTTCTAAAGAAATGGTATGAGATGAATTATTCTTTTCTAAGTGCATTTTATTATGTATTCTTTACTGAGTTATCTGCAAGTGCAAGTAATGTACAGTTCCATGTGCCTCGTAAGTCTGGAAAACTTGTTTCAGTCACTATTCAACAATATTTCAGTCAATATTCAAGCAATAATTTTGCATTTGCATTGAATTCAGGAATTGTCCTGTAGAGCAGTAACAGGGAAGTATTTTCAAGTGTGAAATACTATTTTGCTAGCATGTAGACTTAGGAACCCCTGTGCTAGGAACTCTGTGTCCATGGGAAGAGGAATTTCTTACCCTGCTAATCTGTCTGAAAAGACAGAATAAGGGAATTTTTAGTATTACCATTATGGAGGGAACCTGAAGGAAGAAAAGATTAAGAATGAGAATTTCAAACTAGGCAGAAGATCACAGCAACAGCAGGTCTGGAAGGGACCTGCTGAACCACTTGGTCATTTCCCATGCTAGCACCTACCTATGGTCATGTTCACTCATCACACAGTTTTGGCCCTGCTCTGTTTTCTGCAGCCAAGCAGGACTTTCCCCTCATGGCTGCTGAATATCTGTCTCCTAGTTTGCTCACAGAAGCCCTCAGTTGTAAATTCCAAACATGCCAACTGGACGGGTTTCAAAAATAAATCCCTGCAAATGTCAAGTATTCACTAGTGCTACAACAGCAAGCTACACTTCAGCAGATAAATATACCTCAAGAGCCAGGGCTGTGGGCATTTCTCCTGCTGTGATACTTGCCAGCCAGATGGCACCAGACAGGATAGTAGGCATCAGGCTAAGGAGACTGCCGACCTGGGCACAATAAAGCAGCTCTGTGAAGGGGCAGCAGCAGGAGCCCTGCTCTGTCCAGGCAGCGCTGCTGGAACGGAACTTGCACGTTTTGTGTTGTTTGGCCATGGTGTCTGGTGTGAAACACACCTGTGTTCAATGTCTGTCACAACTGTCAATGAAGAACACCCAAAACCTAATTTTTTCTATCCTTAACTTACAACCTTTGGTTTGTGATTTAACAGCCTTTGAAGCCAGGGAATTTACACTTCTGGTGCTATTTCATTAAACTGCTATCCATCTGCATTCATTTTTAAAGTCTTTTCTTCTCTATCCATCATTTAAATAAAATCACAGCTATCATGAAATGCTCTTTATTTTCTTAGTATCTTCCCCTTAGGAGGCACTGTCATTCAGTATTATTATAAAAAGAATATTTAATTATTCCAAAGACTATATCACAGTAATCTCTGATCTACATTTCACTATACTGCAGGTTTTGGCTGCAACAACCTAAATATTCCTTATGTTGGTAAAATCTTTTCTACTCTGGATAAAACAATTGTAAAGTGCAATTTCAAAAGGTTTCAGTATCTACATACCCCTTTTGCATCAATTACACCGGGTTTCGCGTTGAATTTCACTGTCTTCAAACGTGCACGCTCCTTTCTTTCAACTCTGGGGAAAAGAAAACACAAATGAAGAAACACACATTGATTTTAGCAGCATTTTGTATGAAATATTTCAACCTGCTCTCCCAAGACCATTGGCAGCTTACTACACATACTTAAGTAAACATTTAAAGTGAATTTCATCCACTGAAAAGGAGAGGTCACTTCCTCAGCCAGGCAGCAGTCTTCTGGCAAATGCAGGACTGGGTTTGAAGAGTCTTGGATGCCCTACACCAGCAGAACAGCACTGCCTCTCCACAGACATGGGAGTCTGGGAAAAGCATGCTGGGGACAGATTTATTCTCTCTGATTTAAGCTGTTCAAAAATCAGGCAACATTTTAGAGTTCTATGGTCAGAGGAATGAAACGAGGACATGTCCTTACTCACGTTGATTAATATGGACATTACTGTAAAAGTGATGTTACCTACCTTTGCAAAATCATCTACAGAATCTGTCATTGACAGGCTCAAGTAAAAAATCTGATCATCTACCTGAAAGTGAAACACTAACCCTATTTGCTATGGCTGGGGATTGCTCTAGGAAATCTCCATCGAATCCTGCAAAGCTAGCTTATGAGACATCAGAATACATGCCTGCAAATCTCTTGCTTTCTAAGCCTGGGTAGTAGGAATTCATAATTTCTGATAATTATTTTCCAAAATACAAACTCTAGAGTTTTGATAGAATGATAATTAACACAACATGTTTCCTTCTGTCTGAGTAGGCTTATATACGCCCTCCTGAAACACAGTGAATGTTGGTTACTATAGCTACAGTTTAAATTTAGATTTAATGCATTTCTCTGTAAGTGTGGAATATTCACATGGAAACAGCTCAAGTGCATCTTTCAAACTAAATCTATGTTATTAAAAACACATGAACAGTTCAGACTTGAGCTGGCAGATGAAGTCCCTTGGTAGTACTGGAAAGAAATGAAGACTTAAGGCTGTGTAATTGCCTAAATAGGATGGCTGCCTTCTGAGGAAATAATTAGCACAAATGAACACAATATTGTACTTATTAATCTATATTAACATTTAAACTCATTCCAGCCCTGCCTAACTTCCTAAAACATCTGCTTTTAACTTAATTTCTTATTCACTGCAAAAAAAAATTGGAAATAAATCCTGAAGAGTGAATCTTATTTATGAAGTTTGTCATAATTGCTTTAGCAGTTGTGGAGGCATCACTGCTTTCTAGAGGCATAGCAGACAGATGAGGAGCAGCAGAAACGTTCTGCATTGCTCTGAGAAGTTTTAGGCAATGTAACTGAGTCCTTCAGGCAAACATAACAACAGTGTTCATATATGCTCAGCATGCCTACTGAATGTTCCAAACATTCCATCATCTGGCACTGTAGTAAGGGTGGCACGCAATGTTGCCTCCCATTATCATTTGTGTGACACCTTCCACAATAAAACTGTTCTCAGTTACTTATAATTTAGCTGAAATGTAAAATTACAAGCTGAAATGTTCTGTGTCTCAGGCTGACTACATTACTGTTGCTGCCTGAACTGTCAGTAAAATGGGTCAGCTGTTAGAAAAAGGCAAGGACAAAATAAATAGGTTTGCCCAATTTATAACATAATCTTTAAGTTCTTCAGCTCAGGTGCTCTATTGCCTTTATGTCTTTGGTCTGGAATTTGCATTGTGGTAGTGGGTTGCTCTGGTGTTTACCTCTTATTTTCCTGAAGGAATGAACCTAAATTTCTGAAAAGCTTTAGTTTTGCGTGCTCTGGAGAACTTGTGGAATTTAGCTTTGGTTCTCCAAAGATTTAGTCTTTGTTGAAACGGTCAGGGTGCAGATCTTCAGTGAACTAAGATGTTAGAATTTCTCATCTGAGCTACTGGGACATTTTTGCCATAGACAGGGCTAAAAAGGGGACTAAACTGGTGAAGATACAAAGTTTTGAATCTGTATTTTTTTAGATTTGTTGATCTAGCTCTTAGAAAAGGCACTTGTTAAAGGAACACCAATTCAAACATTTTTACCACTTTTTTGAAGGCTTGTAGTTTTTATATTTAAGGAAAAATAAACTTGACTGTCTTTTTTTCCCCAAGAAGGAAAGAGTTTAGGTCCAAAGAGTTATTTGCAGCAGCTGACACTGTGAATGTCTAAACAGCATATAGGTGTAAATTCCTTACATTGGTTTAGTTGACAGCAGCTGACCATCATTTGAACATTTTGATCCATCAGCTGAAAAAACTTAAGAAAGGAATGTTTCACTTAAGATGGTAAACCAATTTTCTATAACCACTGCTGGACAAAGCAGGATTATGGGGAGTTGTGCAAAAACATGAAGTGAAGGGGAGGATTCCTATCTCCCAGATTTGCAGGGCCCAGACTTGCAACTCTGACTTGCTTGATGTACACATTGCTGCCATGACCCTTTCTAATTATGTATTTGCCTGATAGAGTTATATCTAAGGGATAAGGAAGCATGGCTATGATTTCCAGAACAACTTAATGGCTCAGTCCCATTTTCAAAAGTGCCTGAGGGGTCACTGAAACTCAAAGAGGTTTCAAGAAATGTTCAAAGAAACCTACATCCAACATACAAACATGACTGGAGCTGAAAAGCTCTGAGTTCTGTGTGGAAACAGCATCACCCTAGCACAACTTATGGGGATTTCACCTCCATTTTCCCACCCACTCTCCAAGTATAGCTGAGTACAGAAACACTGCTGTGTACAAGGAAATTACCTAAGATCATGTGAGATCTGGGACAGTTGGAGTATATCTATATACTCACTTTCTCTTAAAAACATTCCTGGTGGTAGATGCCTCTTGGCCTTTTTTATTTCAGAAAGGGTCAGGATTCATTCTCTTCTTGTCATGTAAAGCTAGGGAAGTGGAGCAGTACATTGGAAATATACTTCAACCTTCCATGTTCCCTCACTAGAAAGCTCAGGATTTGAGTTCTTTAGGATACTGTTCTCTTCTTCCTCTTCTGAGGAACTTATTAATCTTATTAATAGGATGCAACACTCACTACAATGTAACGTCTATCTGCTTTTGTGTTTCTGGGCATACATAGCTGTTGAAAAAGGGCTTGTGGGATTTTTCAAAATGAAACTTTCAGTCCTTCATAAATGCTATAAACAAGAAAAAAACAAGTATAACTCAACAAGACATGAACTGTGATCACACACTGCTGCACCACTGGGAGTTTTGTCAGTGCCTTCCTAAAAGCACTAATCAGTCTTCACAGTGGTGAGGTAGAATATGAAGTGAGAAATGCTTTAATCTTCAATAACAGCATTCATGGTCATGTAGAACACAGATGCAAATTGCAAACTTGTTTCTACAATGAAATAAAATGGTAACAGTAGCCTAATTTGTACATATTCGGCACTGAGGTGTTTTGCAGGATGAAAGTTGTTTCCAAATCCAGCATGAGTACTGTAGCGAGGAGAGTTAGGAAATACAAGAAAGCAATGTAAACTGGAAACTTGAAAAACTTTGCTATGTCTCTTGTCTTGCTTCACCATTTCCAGGTCACCTGCACTATATTTGTTTTGCCTGCCTATCAAGTGAAAGTGAAAATATGTATGCACTATTTATAATTCAAATACGTGGTGTCAGTTCATAGCTTTTTATTGCTTCCATTCTCTGCAAGATGTGAGATTGAGTTTACCAAGAGATTCCCATTCTCAAAATTATTTTGGAGCTTTCCTGAAGTGGCATTTTTGCACCAAACATGCATTTTTCAGCAGGAGAGAATGTGCTCTGGATCAGCTCTCCATCTGCAGTGGCTTGCTTATAGAAAACAGCTCAGCACCTGCTCAATATTTATGAAGTGGAGACCTAATGACATTAGGAAATGACTTCTCATGAAATTGTAGCACAACTTTATTCTGTTTAAAAGCTAACAGCTGTTTTCCAACAGCACACAAGTTTCACATCATTGCAAGAGCACAGGAAGAAGTTTATACTTACACATACATAAAAGTTTCATTCCATATTAAATTTTTCCAATCAGATTACTGAGTATAGACAGACAAATTTTTTTAGACAAAGCTTAGCTGATGTTAAAAAGTTTTATCATCTAAGGATTAAAATGTTAGGCACTATTTAGAAAGGTAGATGATTTACAGGAACCACTAAAAATAAAAATCGTTTGAGTGGATAAACATGCCCTTCTGCCAAGCTGAGCAGAACAACAAATTTAAGTTGGCTTTTCACCCACAGGGACTTCTGTGCTGGGAAAACCTCTTGTTCCTTGTCCTTAAATGTTTGTGAAACACTGAGTTTTATGTACCTTTCCCCCCACTATGCCCTGAAAGAAGAGCATGGCTACATGTACTTGTGGGAAGAATGTTGTCAATTTGAGAACACAAGTATCAGGCTGGTATTATTACAGCTGGTAATAACAGAGATACAAGTTGCATAATATTTGGCAGTCAGAGGCACTTAAACTACCTGAAAATGGGTATCTTAGAATGATGTCCAGTCTGACAGCAGTTTTGTGACTGCACATCTGAAGGACAACAGAAAGATTAGTGTAATTATTTCAGGGTTTTAAGGCCAAATCCTCCCTGGCTGCAGAGGGAGCAGTAGTAAAAGTGGTGAGAATTTATGCTCAGCCATTCTGGGGCAATCTGTGTGAAATCTCAGGCTGCATTCCAGACCCACGGACTCGAGTCAGGCAGATATACTCACACCACAGAAAATACTGAGGCTTGACATTCATGAGGTGGGAGGTTGCTGTTGTGGAGGGTTTGCAATGTACGAGCTTGTCCCTGTGCAGAGACTCAGCAAGTAAAAAGTGAAAAGAGCTGGAGGTGTAAAATCAATGCTACAGCAAATTAAAATCTATTTACTATTGAATTACTGCATCTGTCTAGGAATGAAATGCTCTCTTATATATGCAAATTGGTTTAATGCATTTTTTAAATTCCCTTTAACTAATGTGAGTGTTTCCATAGGGAGGGAATCTTGGACATGGGCTGCTCAGCTTGCTGCTGCTCTTTTATAGGAAGTTGATTTTTTTTTTTTAATGGATAATGAGAAGGGCAATGAGGCAAATAAAAATTCTCATGATCAAAAGCACAGAGCGGAAACTCTAATCTAAACCAATCTATCTATATATCAATCTATCCAAATGTAAAAAAAATATAGTGTAAATATAATTCTGTTGGTCATTCTAGTATAAATAGCAATTTTTGATGATAAAGGAGCACTTCACACATGTAGCCATAGTGCCCAGGCAATACTGCAGGCTTCCTGAGACATTGGTACAGGGCTGGTGGTTATGTCCCCTCACCTTGGAGACCCTGCCTGATATAATTGTGCTGTCACCTTAAACATAGCTTGGATAAATCTTTTGGGCAGATGTGGAACCAAGAGAAATTTGGCCTGAAATGTTGATTAATTAATACTATGTAATAACTATTTGGTGATGGTTAAACCACAAGTGAAGTGGTTTGCAGCCTCTTGTGCTGAAGCTTCCCAACACCAACACGATATAATACCACACCAGCTATGTCATTGCACTTGGTTTCTACCCAACTAGCTATGCAGACCTGTGGTGGAGAACAACAGCTATAGTCAGACAATAAATACACACTGACAAACGAACAAAATGTTTTCAGGTGTAGAAATGGTTGCAATTCTATTAAAGAACCACAGGATACTTAGAATTTAATTTTATTGAATCTCCACAGAGGTCATTGGCTCACTGCTCCATGAGACTTAGTCCTTGCATGTATCAGTGGAGAAACTTGGGGCCACCCTGACTTTTTTGGGCTGCTTCTTTCAGTAACACAGCTGCAATGTTGCCCTCCAAAACTCTCTCTTAAAGCCTGACTTGGCAATTTAACCATAAATAAGGCAACAAATCCACACGTTGTCAGAAGCACTGAAATCTAATGACAAAAAAGCATTCAAACTCTATCAAATCACTAAGAGGTAATGTATCCAAAAACTGGGAGAGATAATGAGTGGCAGCTCCCCTATAATTCTAAATTATGATTTTTTTTGCTGGTATAGCACATAAGTCATAGAGGAGAAAAAGAGTAAGGAGTCTTGATTAATCATTCCCCATTTCTCTAATTAGCTCATGCTAAAATGTCATTGTATGATGGGCTCTCCTGTAAAATATAAAAGAAAAATTTTATATCTATATCTATATATCTATATATATATATATATAAAATTGAAGTGGTCACTGGCTTTCAGAGCTATAACATAATGATTTCACTTATGGGAAGTGCAGGAATTGTATCTTAGTTGTTGCTGGACAGAAGTCAAGGGAAGTAGGACAGAAGTAAAGCAGACAGCTAAAAGACTCAACCTGGATCTGTATAGCCTCTCACTGACGAAAAGTGCAAAAAATAAAGTTACAGTACCACAGGATAGCATTCCACAAGCAGAAAAAGGAATCTAAACACAAAAGAAAACCCTTCCCAGCATAACCCCCTGAAGCACCCAAGACACAAAAAAAGAGAACAGAAATTAATTGGGGATTGAAAACTATAAGACAAATATAAAATTCTTCAATTTACATCATCATGGCCACTTTAGCTTGCAGGACAAGCCCAAACAACACCTACAGATGTTCTTATTTTCCTTCCTTCCTTTCTTTCTATCACAATGTTTTACTACTAGATATAACATATGCTGTATTATATACAATGCATTGCTTATAGAAATAATCCCATATAAACTACAGGAGACATGGCATCCTGGAGCCAACAGCTTAAATGAGGATTTCTATGCTGTAGCTGCCTATATTTGGTCAAATGAATTCCAGGAGTACTCTGTTTTAGATTAATCCTCTTACAGTCAATAACCCACACCTGCAGAGGAAATTGAACTCTGAATTAGCACAATCTGGTGAGTGTGATTAGCTTTACTCTCTGTAACTCAGCCCTATGTGCACTGATTGCTCATCCTCCCCTTAGCTGGTGTAAATGACTGCAGAAGGTGCTGGCAAGAGCACATCAGTCTCAGGCACTCAGGAATCATGCAGAACCCACCGAAAGGAAACAGTCCTCACTTTTCAGTGCACTGGAAAAAAATATTGTACAACTGAAACCTTTTATAAAATAACAGCAACCTCCTCCCACTCCAGCTCAGGTGTATCATTACATTCATGCAGACAGAAAATCAGATGCCATTGATTTTTCCAGGCCACTCAGCTTCACTAGTGAAGAATAAGTATGCCAAGTGGAGAGCATGGTAACTGTACCTGAATCTTTTAAAATTCAAGACTCTTATTTTTAGGTTTTAACCAATCTATTTTCATACAGTCTTTTTTTTTTCTTTTTTTAATTTATTCTGTTTTCTCCCAGTGTTTCCTAAGCCACATCTTATTCCTAGGCTCTCTCATGTGTCTGACCTTGACTAGAGAACCTCTATCTTTTGTCCTTGAAAACACCACTGTGTGGGTAACCCAATAAGCTTTAGGCACACACCACCTTTCTACTTTACAGGATATACAATTCCACATCTTAATTAGCTTTGTCTTTTTTCCCCTCTGTAGTTGTTTTAATATGTATGACATGGTGCTTTTTGCACCTTTTCATAGTAGACACCACACAGGAGTGAGCTTACTTACCATCGCATTAAATAAACTCTCCTCTCCTCCCATGTACAATCCAATCATGTAATTACAGCAGTATTTACTGTAGCAATGAATAGCAGGCAAGTATTCCTTTTTCAGTATCCAGAGATTAAGTCTGGTTAATGGGCACATTTTCCATCTTGAAACTTATAACCTAACCTTATGACCTAGCCTTTTATTTCTGTCCATTACACAACACCAAAATGGCTCTTCACTGAGAAACCAGGTGTGGATGCTATTCCAATATGCTCATTAGAGAAATTAATATTTTTTCAGGGCTCATGTCAACAAGGTATTTGATGGCCTTTTAGTTTACTTTTACATGATTTAGAACAATGAGTACCTTGAGCTCTATTAGTACCTTGGCCAATTCTCTTGAAACAGCAGCAGATGCTCAAGGGAGCACCAAGCATCCCATTTCTCCTCTATAAAAAAATGGTCATGATCATTTTTACACTAGTGCCAAAGCTGAAATAGCTAGCAATGGAAAGTTTATACTCAGTATGACGGCATTGCTGCAAAAGAGAAATGTAATACGTTTTGACGGATTTAATTTTCCTCCTACCCTTTCAGTTCTTGACCTTTTTATAGCAACTATCAACAGAGCCAGGAGGTAATACTGCTTTGTGTGCTAGTTCTGATACTATCAGAGACTTGTGGCCAATTTTACAAAAGCATCTAGGCAGAATAAACAATACAAACAATGAGGGAGATTCAGATATCTGTTCTCTCTCTGACAGTCACCACGAATCCATCACAGACACAAAAGATTCAGATTTAGCTTGGAGAGCAGATGAAAGTGCCTTCATTTACATTATATGAAAAATTTACTGTGATATTGGTTATCCATCAGTTTCCAGGGAGGCAGAGATTAAATTAACAGACTTTGAAGCCAAAGATGACCATTATATAATTTAGCACCATATTTCACATCACACAGGCTGAGAAGTTTAATGCTATTACCCTCTCAAAAGAAAGACATACAGTCTTGATTTGAAAATGTCAAGCCATTCATTACATCCTTCAGCAGTTTGATGCAATGGCTAATCACCCTGACATTAAAACATGTGCTCCACTTCAAATTCAGAGCGAATTCCCAGACTCGGGTTCTGGTTATTCCTTTTTTTTACTAAAGCTATTTAGTAGATGGCAATCTCTCCTTCTTTTCCCTTTTCTTCATGAAGTTACTAGTTATTGAATCACCTTCTGAGTTTCTTTTCAGTACAGTTATAAACAGCCTGAATGCTTTAAATCTCACAGCAAAAACTGTCTTCCAACTCTTCAAATACCTGTAGGATTTTCCTTTACTGACCCCAGTTTTTCAGTAGATTGATGCACCCCATCTTTGCAAAAAAAAAAAAAAAAAAAAGGAAATATTTTGAGATGATGGCCAAGGAGGTAAGAAGGAGGAGGCAGCACTCACCTCCTCTTGCTGGGTATAACTCCCATCTCCTCACTGTCCCCCTCCAGAGTGACCCTCCTCGCCTGCCACCATTCATCATCGGAGGCGTTGATGACGTGAAGGATGTCTCCATACTTGAAACTCAGTCCTTGGCTTGGGAGGCCACTGTCTTTGCTCTTGTCATAGTCAAACATGGCTCTGTGAAAGCAAACAAAGATTTGAAGGTAGGTGATTATATCAGTCTGGGTACATCTACATCTGAGCAATTAATCATATCTTATGTCACAGGTAACCTTTTCCAAGGGGAAAGGTCCTACTCAGAGGAAAACTCTTTCCACTGTGAAGTTAGTCTTTACAGAAGCCTTTTTTTTTTTCTTTTTCCTGTAAGAGAAAATGAATGGTAAAATCAGATACCAATTTCAGCCTATGCTTTCCAGTCCTATGCCTGGCACCTGCACCAGGGTAAATGTATCCCTCTTTCTGAGAGCAAGACCCTGCACACGAATCCCAGCAAGTGCAGGTCACTCACTGGAGTTACCTAGCTAAAAATCCAGACCTTGGTTTTGTACACAAAAAAATACTTGGGAATATTTTTCACATGTAAAATATTGTTTAAAGATCATACCTGTCAAGAACTGATGCTTATTTCCTATAGGGAAAATAATATGATCATAATCCTGGCTGCAGAAGTGTTACATCAGTTAAATCCCAATAAGTGTCTAATAATTCCTATTCTTTCATTGTCAGAAAGAAAGCCATGGCAATCTTTTCACCGGTAAACACTTTTGTGAGAAGGATTTGATGTAATTAATTGCTGTGCATTTTACTGTAATTACAAAGAATGATTGTAGCAGTTTTATGGGTAGATATAAACCACTCAAAGCTACTTCTCATAAGGTGAAAAACTTTAAAATAAGTTATCAAAATTGTGACTATGCAACCAAAATAATTTAAAGCTCTCATATGCACCAACTGTGCATGGCAAATCTGGTTCAGGAGGAGGGAAAATGCTACTTGAAATATGTCTTCTTTTACAGAGTTTAAAGTCATGTACTAACATCTTCAGAAATGCCCAGATAATTCCCTTTGAGGATGAAGACTGCTGAATTTTACATAATCCATAAGTTTACTTATGCTTGTTCCTTTTTTCGTAAATGTTCTTGGAATGCAAGTATCCTTTGGAAAAATTTAATGGCTTAGCAGTGGAAAAGTTATTTTTAAAAACCTGACCATATCTTATTAAATATTTACATTCATAAAGGACTCTTACTGGTACTAGGTCATCTGCTGCTTCTCAAGTACAGTCTCCTGTGAGGACATCTGATGAAGAAGCTCATAAATCCAGAAGCAGTTAAGTGTCATTAGACACCTCTTCTTAACCAAGTGATCACACCAGATCCCTGGAATTGGCAGTGCATATACAAACAGGCACACAGCACATTATCCTGTGTTGGATGGATTTTGCCCTTGGCAGCAGGCAGTGATCAGAGTTTTACCAACGTATTGAATAGTCTTAAAAATTCATGGATTAATTGTGCACCTTGCCATGGACGCTGTTCAACAGCTCAAAACCCCTAACCAGACAGTTGGCCATGCTGTATACTGGGCAGACATCATACAATCCTGATTCCAGGCATAATTAAGTCATTCAAAACAAGGGACAATATCTTCTGTAAGAGGGAATAAGTCCCTGTTACATGGATTCTCACATCCCTGATGCAAAACATTCCCTGATGCCAAACTGGAAATGCTCCATATTCAGCAAGTTCTAAAATGAAGGTTGTGTTTCAAAAGTTAAGGAGTAGAAAGTAGGACAATATTCTTTGTCCTTGAACAGACATTTGCACCTCAGAGCCCACATATTGACTTAAAATGAGTCTGTCATCGTGCTGGCTGATGTTAACGATGAATGCAGATGGCAATGTTTGCCTCTGACTTGCTTTGATTGGAGTAATCATGTGCATTGCTAATTAAAATGAGATTACAGATCTCAGACAAGAGACTTTTTGAGCACACTTTTCATTGAATGAAAGATTTTGTGGCTGATGCTCTACAGATGTTGATTACTCCATTAGCAAATGAAAATTACATGAGAGCTGACTTCAGTGATCTTTCCTAAATATTTCAAATTAAGACCCAGGTCTTGGTAACAGCTGTATTTGAGCTTACACCTTTGATAACATTTCTGGCTCTGGAAAACATACTTTTGCTGGTTGGCTGTTGGCCCAGCTATGAAGTATGTGGAGATCTTTACTCCAGGCATTGTTGACTACTTTGGGCTATAGAGAGAGCTGGGCACACTCATCCCCACCACCTCAGGCTAAGAGGGCAGTTTGGGTTGCAAAATCTAGTCCCTTTAAGAGACTGACATGTCATTTCTAATTTTCTACCTGATGAACACCACACAGTTCTGCACTATTTTGGCTTGGTTTTGAAGATGTATATAAAAATAACACCTCTGCATCTGTTGAGTGTCAACTGAAGTGACACAAAATGAATGTAGCCAGACCTCTTGTTTGGTAAAGGAACTGGGCAGAACAGACAGAGAAAGATGCCTTTTCTTCTTTGCCCTTTCATGTTTTTAGACAATGACATCCAAGTCTTACAGGATACCATCTGCAAGCACTGAAACTTTCATCAGAGCCAAGGTGAGCTCTCAGCAAAGTCTAGTTGTTTTGTGCAAGCTTCTTCACCAGGAAAACACACTAAGGGGTATGTTAGACACCTTAGATAGGTTCTGTCATGCCAGGGAGAATATCAGAAGAAAAGTTAAAAAGTAGTAGCACCTTTGCTGAATATTATGAGTTGAGAGGAAGACATAAGGAACACAGTCCAACAAGAAACCTACACTTGCACAGAGCACCTAGCAGCTCTCTCTGAGAGATGAGCACCATCATTTCAGCTAGAGGAGGATCAGCATGATCAGGACCAGACAAGTACTCTTCCAAAATGAGATGTTTAATAGAAAAAGGGTTATTAAAATTATCCAGAGGGTCTAAACCAAGAAAACATGTCACAGTGCCTCTCTCTCTCTGTGATGAATTAGAGGTGTCTCCCCAAAACACAGCACAATATTGCAGATAGTGGAGGGGCTGCTCAGCAGAGCTAGTGAGCTTTCTGTACTTGCTAATATGACTACATGCTTTCATCTGGCTGAGGCTGCTTATTCATGGGTTGCTTGGGCAGTTCTTCACAGTACTGAGCTTTAAATAATTTTTAGTGTCTTTTACTGCAGTATTAAAGAATAAAAATCTCAATAACCTTACAACATTTTAATGACATTAATCTAACAGTCTCGAACTAACAACTAACAACTTTTTTTTCTTCAGAACTTATAAAAGTGCTCTTAAAGCACTGTTCAGTATCTTCTAGACAGTGCATTTCACAAACAGAACCCTGGGTTACACAGGATAGAGAATGCATTTTGAAGTTACAAATACACTAAACCCAGTGACTACTATGAGATGTGGATAAAATACTGGAACAGGTAACAGAGCTTGCTACAAACCAGTTTAACAGATGTGATGAAATAATGATTTGGTCAGCTTAGTTCCCTTATTACAAAAACAGCAACAGGAATTGGTGTGAGTATCAAAAGCATCAGGTATATGCACCAAAGTTTCATGAACACTTATTTTTTTCTCAGTTCTCAGTTCTTGCCTTAGTTTAAGGAAAATTGTTTAATATCTTGAAAGTGAAAAGTGTCATTCAAATGCCAAGTACTGCCATGAAAGGCTTGGTGAAAGCCTCATGTTTATAGAAAATAAAGACCTGAGAAGTGAAGCAGGAGGTGCAAACATTTAGAAGAAGCTGGCTATCACAAATATTTAAGAATATGTGAGGCTTGCTCCCCTGATATTATTCCAGACTTCAGAAGTGATCATTATACTAGACTAATCCCAGCAGCAATTTGGACAGAACCTAACAGGTTTTATTTTTGTGCTTAGGTGCTTCTTAATCATTTTTAGGCAGCCACATCACCGTAAAATATGAGAGAAGCATTTCACAACAGCATTGAAATTCATTGCTCAAAAATTGTTTGGAATTAAAATACTGACTTCCCCAAGCTATAATATACTGCCTAACATGCAGTGAGGTGTCTACATGGCATGAAGGCGACCAAAACTGGGGTATCTTTTTTTTTCTTCCACTTAGCATAAATACTTCATTATTTGAGGCATTTTTGAAAGCTAAGCTGCCTTGTGCAGTAAATTTCTATACCTAATGACACCTATTCTTGCAGCTAGAGGAATAAATGTTTGACAAAGAAAATATATTAGCAGTAACAGAATAGAAAATAAATTCCTAATGCAATCCCATATATTACAACCTATTGACATCCACGATGTTATATTGTCACCAGCATTTGTAACATGAAAAAAATAGGGTACAGAAAGACTAAGTGATCTTGCTAAGCCCTTAGCAAAAAAGGGAATTTAACAGAGAAACTTCTTAGCTTCCTCAGCTAATGCTGTAAACACCACTGTTAGTAGTCTTCACAATCTTCCTGACAAAGCAAGGGATATACCTGCATTTACAACACAGGAATGTATTTTACTGAATGCTTCTATATATTCAGTGCAAAATCCCAAAATCTTCCACTCCTCTATCAATGGCCAGTAATTTCGTACAGTTCAGGTGACAGCTTTATTTGCATCTCTGAAATTACTTCTTCTTCTTCTTCTTCTGGCACAGATGGGAGTTTGCACATAAATTTACAGACGGCTCTTTGCTATTCACTTGATTATGAAACGACAACAACATTTAGCAAGAGAGATTTTCAGCTGCTGTAAATAGTCCTAACTCTCCTGTGATCTGCCAGCATATCTGCATATGCACCACTAAAGGATATTTCTCTCTTTGAACAGGGATTCTCGGACATCAGATTTTATAGCATCATCCTAAGGGAGATAGATGTTATTCTCCTCATTCACCACATCTATCCTACCCCCTGCCCTATTCTTTTTTTACAGATGGGGAAATCCAGTGCAGAGAGGTTTAATCATTTGCCTGGTTTTAGACAGTAACTCAGCATCATAGTCAGAATCAGACCCCAAGCTTCATAGCTGTCTTTTCTGCACTCAGTAATAAATGCATTTCCACCCACTTGCAGGCTCAGCTTGAAGAAAAAATTAGAAGAAGATGAAAGAAACGCTAATGTAATTCATTGCTATAGCTACAACAGAGAGCACAGCGGC